ATACCTGGTGACGAATTTTACGGAGAAATCTTTTGATTTTGGGGCTGGAACTGAAGAAAACCTGTTGCGTTCTTGGAGGGGTTTGAGTCGCCTCTTTCTCCTCTTTTGTTCTAAGCTTGGTGAATTCTAGTGAATAATGGTTTAGGGTAAACTCTGACTAGAATAATGGGCTAAAACTGACCAAAACGAAGTAGTTTAGGGATAAAATAATTAGGAAAAGACCCAACTACCCCTAAACTAAAAGATCGACTAGGTGACCGATGGACTTGACCGACGGACCGTAGGTCAGCTGACGGTCCATCCTGTTAGTCATCGTTGTCTGTCAGAGGGCTAAAAACTGGGTTCTTAACCACGGACCGTGGTCCCACCTATAGTCCGTAGGTCATGCATTTAGTCAAGGGTTTTCTGGGAATTCTGGGGGAAAGTTGAGGTGGGCAACCACAGACCCCACTTACGATCCGTGGTTCGACCTACGGTCCATATGTGGCCTCCATCGGGGGCACCTGCAACTTTTGAAAATCTGAAAATTTTCCTTTCTCGAATTTGGGGTGTTAGAGTAAAGATATTTTATAGGACTTAGTTATATGGTCAAAATGATATAGTATAGGCATAGAAAGAATAGGAAAAGACACAAAAGTCTCTAACTTAAATTTTTTGAAGGGGATCTATGACTCGACCAACGGTTCGTAGAAACTTCTACGGACCGTCCTGTTCAATCGTAGAACATACTACTTGAGACCAACAATTCTGATGAGTTCCACGAATTACTTCTATGGGTTGTCAACCGTTCTACAATTCGAAGATCTTATCCATAGAACCCAATTACCCACAAATCCTCCAAGTCCAAAAAAAACTTCCACAAGCACTTCCTACGAACCGTAGGAGTTCTGTAGATTCGTAGGTCCATCCGTAGGGCATGAGGTACCCAAAATAACCAACACTGGAACTCACCCTAAAGGCACTTGCTACAAACTATAGAGGTTTATCTTGACATTTCCCAAAATCTCACTCAACTTCTACGACGTCCTTCTACGATCCTTAAAACCATCTACGAACCATAGATATGCGTCGTAAAACCTGCATCAACAACTCAAAATCTTCAACTTCTTTCCAAACTCAACTTACCAAATTTTGAAGTATTACAATGTGTTTGCTACTTCACTTCAAAAATGGTGATACAAATGGGTTGTTTTTAAGAAAAAATCTGGGTTGCCTTAGTCAAGGAAATCTAATCAAATGAAACTCTAGATGGCAGGATGGACACAGTTTTCGTTAGTTGAATAATTTAGTTTGTGAAAATTGGTTACTTTTGCGGAAAGCAAAAATTGTATAGCGTTTCACATTTCTCTCTTCACAATTACAATTGTTCTCTCTATAGTATAAAAAAGGTGTAGATATATATATATTTTTAAATTTTTTCGGTTGCTATTGTTATTAAGTTGTACTAGTATACGTGCCCGCGCGTTGCGCGGATTATATCATAATTTTGATAAATTGTATAAATAACTAATTGAAATGCTTCTCCGAATAAATAACTACCTCACACTATCTCTATATAAAAACAATACAATATATAAACTTAGTTCATTTACTAAATTTTTTAACAATAATTATAATTATAAAATTATTTACTTTATTTATTTACAAATTAATAAAAATCACAAATATCCTCACATAATCCATATTATCCTTTTGTGTGCATTTTTTTAAAAATCCTTTTATATGCATTTGTTTACTATTAATTTGAATCTTTTAATTTAGTGTATTACCTATTAATAGGAGGATATTAAATCATATTAACTTTAAAATTTTCATCTACTATATTGTTTCTCAATAAATAAATAATAAATAATAATAGGATTATTGAATTCATATTCCTTCATCCTTTGTATAACAATTTTAACAAAGAGCTAGGGAGAACATTTATTGGTAACAATCAATCCAAAACATGATTTATGTGTCTAAATATAAATAATGACATTAAAACACTGTCACAATTTAAAATTTTAATCCACTTTCAACCCTAAATATCTAAAATAGAAATGTTTTGCACAAATCAAATGAATATTTTTAAAATATGTTATACGTTATTCGTAAATTAATATTTTATGATTCAGTAAATTCTATAGGAATTGTTTTTATTAATATATTAATTTTTTGCCTATAAATATGATAAGAATACAAATATTATTATCCAAATAAATCCATAACTTAATAAAGCGATAGAACAATCTTGTTGAGTAGTTATCTAGAACTCAAACTCATTAAATTAAACCCACTTTTAAAATTGTATTCAATTATCTTGCAATACCTTCAAATTCAAAATAACTAATAATTGGTAAATTGTAAAAACGGTTTATAAATTTAAAAATAATGAAGAATAGTTATAAAGTTGAATATACTAATATGAATTTGTATAGATGGAATTATAAGATTCAATTTATAAGTATAATGGCTAATGCTTCTTCTATTGTTTGATTCCAGATTGTTGTCCTCAAAGTTTATTGATTGTCCAGAAATAAATTTATCTGAAAGTAAATTTTTAATCTCATTATAAAAGTTATTTGTTTGACTAAGCAACCTACAATCAGAAAAAGGAAATTAGCGTCCAATATATATGTAAAATCATTTCATGACAATCATAAATTCCAATAAAATAATTTACCATGCATAAAAACTTTTCTAATAAATAACACAAATTATTGATAGATTATAATCAAATCAAATCATATTAAAGTCTGATTGGTAAGCAAATTGAGCACATATATATTTATTTAAGTGTTGCCTCCATGAATAATGTATAACCAATGAACGAACATGATTGAAGATTGAACAAAAAAAAAAACTTGATTGAAGGATTGAAGAATAGGTGCAAAAGAATTTAGAGAATAAAATAGATTGAAATCTGGCTTTATCTAAAATAAAGTTAGTTGTTAATTCAAATTTTAAAAGATGAATCATAACTTCCCATTCAAATTCAAAATTCAAAAATTTAATAATATTTAGTTGAATACATTTTTTCCCTATTTAGTTGGATGCGTTTTTATTTTCTGTCTAGAATTAAAATTAATGCATTTTTTAAACAACTTTTGTAACCGTAGATTTTAACTTCCCATTCAAATCCAAAATTCAAAAATTTAATAATATTTAGTTGAATACATTTTTTCCCTATTTAGTTGGATGCCTTTTTATTTTATTTCTAAAATTAAGATTAATGCATTTTTGAAACAACAACTGTTGTAACCGTAGATTTTTTTATTTTTTTTATTATTATTATTGTAGAAAGCAGTTATTTCTAATTTTTTTTTAAAATACGTTTGAAAAGTTTATAGATTGTTTAAACATTTTTAAATTTAAATTGAAAATAACTAACTAATACAAAACTAAATTATTTTTAAAACTAAAATTCACAAATTTTATGGTGATGACATGTGTCACTTTTTCCCTCTCCTATTATATATAGATAGATTATTATTATTATTATTATTATAGAAAACAAATATTTCTAATTTAAAAAAAAAGATTATATAGAAAATAATAGATTAAAATTCGGCTTTATCTAAAATAGAGTTAGTTTTTAATTCAAATTTTAAAAGATGAATCGTAACTTCCCATTCAAATCCAAAATTCAAAAATTTAATAATATTTAGTTGAATACATTTTTTCCCTATTTAGTTGGATGCCTTTTTATTTTATTTCTAAAATTAAGATTAATGCATTTTTTAAACAACAACTGTTGTAACCGTAGATTTTTTTATTTTTTTTATTATTATTATTGTAGAAAGCAGTTATTTCTAATTTTTTTTTAAAATACGTTTGAAAAGTTTATAGATTGTTTAAACATTTTTAAATTTAAATTGAAAATAACTAACTAATACAAAACTAAATTATTTTTAAAACTAAAATTCACAAATTTTATGGTGATGACATGTGTCACTTTTTCCCTCTCCTATTATATATAGATAGATTATTATTATTATTATTATAGAAAACAAATATTTCTAATTTAAAAAAAAAAGATTATATAGAAAATAATAGATTAAAATTCGGCTTTATCTAAAATAGAGTTAGTTTTTAATTCAAATTTTAAAAGATGAATCGTAACTTCCCATTCAAATCCAAAATTCAAAAATTTAATAATATTTAGTTGAATACATTTTTTCCCTATTTAGTTGGATGCCTTTTTATTTTATTTCTAAAATTAAGATTAATGCATTTTTTAAACAACAACTGTTGTAACCGTAGATTTTTATTTTATTTTTTATTATTATTATTGTAGAAAGCAGTTATTTTTTATTTTTTTTTAAATACGTTTGAAAAGTTTATAGATTGTTTAAACATTTTTAAATTTAAATTGAAAATAACTAACTAATACAAAACTAAATTATTTTAAAAACTAAAATTCACAAATTTTATGGTGATGACATGTGTCACTTTTTTCCTCTCCTATTATATATAGATAGATATGTGTTAACCCTCCCTAGCACCAAAATCATCTCGCTATTTAGAGGTCTATAAAATATTTTTTGTCCACACAATTTTTACTAGTGTGCAATTTTCTATCTTTTTTATTTTAAAGAAAAACTACCTAAATACACAACTTATTTTACCATATTTTCTAAAATTTCCTATTATTTGAAAAATTTATAAAAATCCTTACTCTCTCTTATTTTCGAATACATCACATTACACGATGTATCGGCCGGATACATCACTTTACGGGATTTATTGGGACATATGCGATGTATCGGGATGTCGAGTGATGTATCGTTACATTGAGTGATATATTCGAAACCGAGACACAATGTATTAGGACGTTGAACGATATATCTGAAATGAGAACGCGATGTATGAAGACGTTTTGGGATGTATCCGAATTCCACCAAATTTAAGAAATATTTGCAATTTAAAAAAAGTAGGAATAAGAGGCAATAACTTTTAAAAGGATGATATCTCATTTAGCCCATTCAAAAAATAAATACACACTTTATTCAAATTATTTTTGTGTTGAGAATAACCCATTATGATGGACTTCATTTTCTTTCTGCTGTATGTACTATTTTTGTTAAGATTAAGAAAGTTGTGAAGCAGCTCTACTACAATAGGGGCTACTCGGACACTCTCTTACTCTGTGGAATAAAACCAGGCCGAACGAGTAACCTGAACCGTTGTATCCATATCTTTGCCGGCGATACAGATGCTGCCGACCGCTCGATCACTGTCTCTTGTCCTGTTCCTGGCCGCCTTCATCATCGTTCCGCCTGCGCTTGCTTCCGAGTCCGATCACAAGGTAACAATGTTTCACATATTCTTCATATTAATGGGGAAACCTAATTCTCCTTCATTCTTTGTTTTTCATGGTTCACATTTGTTGAAATTCGATCACTTTCTTCATGTATTGTTCAGATCTATGAGGATATTGATTACTTGTGCGTCATGTTATAATTTCTGAGCCATTATAGTTTTGAGTAGGTATCAATTGGATATATAAATCTTCTATATTCATTCAAAATTCAATTTCATCAAAACTTCTCTTTTAGGCGTTAGATTGTTAGATGTTACTATACAGTTTATCCCGACATGCAGATTTTCTTAAATACCTCCAAGCGAAGTCTTAATGGGAACTGTGAATGAAAGTAAATACCTTTTTCTTCTAAAGCAAGATAATGTGTTAGCTGTACATCTTAACTAACTTACTTCACTCATCTTGGAATTACATTATGCTGATTCTTCACAAGAAATTTATCTTTGTAAGCATTACATCTGTCTGACTGTAACCGACTGCAACCTAGTAGTGAAGTAAAGTTTCTAATAAGTGTTCTGAATGATTGCGTGTGCATGCAGTAGCTTAGGCAGGATTTTGTGCAAACAGTGTCGATCTATTGTCAAAATGCAATTTGTATACATGTTTGGATTTGAAGCAATGGGGTTTTAGCAGTTAACTTCTTAACCGGAGTTGATGTTTACTTTGTTTTATTTTCCAAGTTGTATAGGACTACTGTATATGCATATTTGGGAAATATTATTTACGTCCTGGTTACAGGTGTCTCCTCCACTGTGTGATGGATAGGGGGATTTGACGATGATCGATAATTATCAGTTGCTAAAATTTGTGGAAAACCACTGAAATGAAGAAAATGTGAGATTGTTTTACAAAATCTAATGCGTCCTAAACGGTCCGCGACAACTTTTCAGCCTCTATGACTTTACTGGTTATTCTGGATAAGGGACACTGTCAACTCCATTTTGATCTTATCATGTTATTTTTGCCTTCTAAGTAAGTACTTATGATAAAGGCACGTTGAATGTTAGTAAAGTTTAAGCAATGCCACTAAATTTGCATGGTTAGAGGAGGTACAACTTATTAGAAGGAAAACAACACTATCCTAAAAGTTGAAACCTTCTAGTCGGATTAGTTTGCTTCATACAGTTGGTTGTAGAGGTGCTCAAAGTTTATTTATTTATTTTTTGAGAACCTTGATGTTTGGGCCAGCTTGGTTAAAATCTGGGAGCATTCTATACACTTTGTGTTTTCTTCAGGTAATTTTCTTATTATCCCCCTCTTGAAGATCTTTCAATTTCTCAAAGTACTTCCTAAACCCATTTCTAGTATTCAAAAGAGTGTCTTTTTCCCGTAAATATAAAAATGATAGAAGGATTGTATACATGCAAACTTAGCAATATTTTATAATTTTTTTATAGCAATGGTGTTCAGGCAGCTTGCACGCACCTTGACTATTCCACTGGGTGCCTACTACCTCTGTAGAAAAGGTACTACGTAATCTGACACTAAGACAGACTAAGGCAGATGGGAAAATGTCACCTTGCATTTTTCGTCTCTGCTGCGATTTAAACCTGGTCGCCCATGGTTTTCACCTTCTTCCTGGATTGCTAGGCCAAACCCTTGGGTGCAAAGAACATGATAATCGGTAAAGAAAAGTTCTTTTTGCAGACATACAAAAGCTGCAAACAATTCTCGAAATAACGTACAGAAGGAAAAAAGTTAGCATGAAAAGGGCTGCTCGCTGGCAATGGTATTTCACATAAAGTCATTTTTTTTGCTAAATGGCAATATTGCTGGATAGCAGCATATTGTGGAGGTGCATTTTTCTCATGATAATTACCACACCACTGTCCCATTCTTCACTGGGTGATTATATTTTAATGACCATACCTGCTAATTTGAACATATGCCCTTTATTCTACAGTGTAATAGAGTGTTTTTGGGAATTTGTGACATATACAGTTGTTAACCTTTTCACCGGTCCGGCAGATGGATTAAGTGTATTATAATAAAAATTATTGGATCATTTCAGTTGCTTTTCCTCTGTATAGCTGGAAAAACATCTCTACTGGAGAGTGACTAGCTTAACACTAATGAGGCTGACTCAGTCTCACATGCACTCTCCTTAGCTCTTAATATTTTAATTCATATTCTCTCTGAAGAAGGTATATGATTTTTTTCTTCATCAAAAAGAAGGTATATGATCTATTGTTCAGAAGGCATAATGGTTCTTTTCACACTTCATTCTATTGATCTATTCTATTGCTTGTTTCTGTCAATTGGACTATTGTAGTATGATGCGTTTAAAACTTTGTGATTTCTGTTCTCCCTTTAGTTTGACTATCTTTGCACGGGTGTTTGTAAGATGCTAATCCTATATTGTTTTTTTAGCTTATGTTTTTCTGCAATACAGGTTTGCCTACTTCCTTGCTCCATGGTTTGTTCTTTTCTGCTAATACTGGGAGAAGATACATCTCTTAGAAAGTTACCTTCTCAAAAAAAAGAAGAAAATAAATCTCTTAGAATATAGAAAATATATGTTCTGGAAACTTTGCTAAGTATTAATGAATGCACCAGTAAAGTGAACAAATCAGTACACCTACTTATATTTTCTTGACCAACTATTTTTCATATGAAAAGCAAATTTTTTTTTTTTTTTTCAGTTTCAAAAAACAATTGCTTTTCTCTGACCACTATGCTTTCTTCAACAGTATCAAGCAGATGATCCGGTTACCCTCTGGGTAAATAAAGTTGGGCCATATAATAACCCACAGGAAACATACAACTATTACAGCCTTCCATTCTGTCATGCATCTGGTAATACTCACAAATGGGGTGGCCTTGGTGAAGTTTTAGGTGGAAATGAGCTTATCGATAGTCAGATTGACCTAAGGTTTCAAAGTATGTGAATCTCTTTTGATTTGAAATACTACCTTTCTTTTTCTTGTTTAATTTGAGTTGCATGGCTGGACTAAGGGTCTATCGACTATCAGAAATAACCTCTCTACCTTTACAAAGTAGTGAAGGTAGGGTTAAGGTCTACATACACACCACCCTCCCCAAATCCCACTTGTGGGATTACGCCGGGTATGTTGTTATTGAGTTGACATGGACTATTCTAATTTGATAGAAAATGTGGACAAGGGTAGCATTTGTGAGCTTGAGCTTGATGAGACGAAGGTTAAGCAATTCAAGGATGCTATTGAAAACAATTACTGGTTTGAATTCTTCATTGGTACGTTACAAATTTTGTTCTTTTTGATATATTTTAACATTATATAGCTAATGGTAATATTGAGTTTTGTCTGCACCATAGCGCAAAACTTCCACTAAAATTTTGGAATGAGATGGCATATAAAACATATTGCACAATCAAAGTTGTCAAAGATTGGAATTTTTTCAAGTTAGTAATCCTATTATTCCAACATTGATCATAAGTATTTTGTTAATTTATTTTGGTAGAAGTCCGTGAAATATTCCAATAAGTACATCTTTTATTCTGTCATATGTTACATTGTGCACTAAGTATTGTTGCTGATCTACATTTATAATAATCTATGGATGGTTTTCATGGAAATGAAATAAAGAAAGATCATAGATGGTTTTACAGATAGGTGATTGGTGTAACGTATATCCTGCTAAAATTTTGTTATGAATTACCAAATTAGAATGTTAATTATCTCCTAAAGCTTTTTGATGGGTACTGGAAAGTTAATTTAGCTTTGTTTGTCTAGAATTGAGATTGATTTTAAAATCGTTTTGGGATTTTTAAGCAAGATAGCAGTCACAAATTTTGTTGTAGACTGCAAACAAATATAAGTTACTTTGTCAAAGAGGTAGGTGTTGCTTGAAAATGGTACAACATAATGCATAAAATCTTAGAATACCTAGGATCTATGTAATTATGGTTTTAGCTTGTAACTTTTTGGAGGTAGCCAGCATACCCTTAATGCTGAAGAATACAACTTTAACTTTATCAAAAAAAAAATCTTAGCATACTGTCCTATTCAACATAGACACTAGGCTATAGCATGGTCTCAAAATGCTTACATTGGACCAAAAATGCATTACAAAATATGAACATTGCTCAGTTTCCCAAGAGCTTTGCATTCTATCCCAAGGTCACACAGTTTGATGATCAAGGGTTTACTCAAAGGGCAAGATTTAATCCATGAATTTCTATGTTTGTATGATATGTTTCTCTATAAAAAGGACAATGCATGAAGTAATGTAGGCGTACTTCATTTCATGATATAAAGGTATTCTTGAGATGCACTTATGCTTGAAGCTTGGTGAGTGACAGGTTAAGCAATAGTTGGCACATCAGTACAGGTACCAAGGTACTAAGGCGACCACATGGCTTCTGTATAGGAGAGGACTTCACCAATTAGTAAATATTGATTGAAAAATAACATCTTAATTGCTTGGTAACGTTATTGATGAACCTGTTAGTGACTGGAAGTAGGAAATTAGAAATTATAATACTATAAGATTGGTCATTAAATCTAGATTAGTAATTAAAAACTGCAACTTGGAAAAATTAAAAATGATTTTCAAAAACATGGGTTTTTCTACAGATTTTAATTAAAATTGCAGCTTTTCAATTTCTTTGTTCAATTGTGTTCCTATAGTTATTGCTGTGGAGAGAATGTGATAATGTTTTTAATTTTTGATGGAACCTTTGCTCTCCAACTGAGGAGATATGTTTCTTTTGTTTATGAAGTGACATTGGTGAGACTTCAGCTGTTTGTGGTTTTAACGTCTTAAGAGATGGATTTCTTTAGCAACATCTTCTGGCATATTATAAAGTCTCCTTCCTTCTTCCCTTTTTTATTTGCAACATCCCTGTTGAATTCATGTTGACTTTGCTTTTCTTCAGTTGTGCCTCACTGTTTTATTGTTCTGTTGACTGTCTTATAGAAGGGTTATTTATTTTACCTTCTAATTTTCCATTTTGCTTGTTTTGACTATTATCTTCTTTTGCCTCCGGCCGAATGCCTTTTTCCAGATGACCTGCCTTTATGGGGTATGTGCTCTCTAAGCTTTCTCTCCTTCTCTTGCAAATTTCCTTTTCTTACTTGATGTATGGGTAAGTGGTTCTACTTTGTGCTTTATTTTGGTGTTTTAGGTTTTGTTGGTGAGCTACATACTGACAGAAACAGTGATAACAAGCATGTGCTTTACACACATAAGAATATTAATATTAAATACAACAAGGACCAGGTTAGTGTCTTTGTTTATTTCACCTATGTGGCCTGTCTGCATACTGATGTGCTTGGTTTCTTTCTTGCAGATCATTCATGTTAATCTCTCTCAGGAGAGCCCAAAGCCTTTGGAAGCTGGGAGAACCTTGGACATGACATATTCTGTCAAATGGGAACCTACCAATATCAGTTTTGCTCATCGTTTTGATGTATACTTGGACTACCCATTTTTTGAGCATCAGGTGGGTTTTAGTTTGAGGCATTATTTCTTTAAGCAAACTTACTATACCTTTTTTGTTTTGTATCACTAGATCTAGATCAATGTAAAGTTGTAAAATCCTCACGTGTTCAATGTGGCATAGAAAAATTCATTATTGTGCTTGAGTTTCGTATTGGTTATAATTGTAATATTCACTCTGCAGATCCATTGGTTCTCCATATTTAATTCCTTCATGATGGTCATCTTCCTTACTGGTTTGGTGTCTATGATTTTGATGCGGACACTGAGGAATGATTATGCCAAGTATGCTCGGGAAGATGATGATCTCGAAACCCTGGTAAAGACTTGATGCTGAAGAACCTCGTGTTTAACTAAGGCTTGAATAGGCTTTCTGTCCTAAAACGTTAATGTTATTGTCTCAGGAAAGAGATGTTAGTGAAGAGTCTGGTTGGAAACTTGTTCATGGGGATGTGTTTCGGCCTCCTCATTATCTAGCGCTAATTTCAGCTCTTGTTGGTACTGGGGCACAACTTGCACTGCTTGTTCTCCTTGTCATTCTGTTGGCAATTGTGGGGACATTATATGTTGGGTATGCCGGAGCACTTGACATTATTTTTTAAAAAATTCTAACAGCATGTATACATTTCCGAATTCAAATACATCAACCCATGTGCCTAGCACATGCTAACTATTTGCCTTAGCCGAAATTGCATCTGCCCAACACTTTAGAATATTTCAGCCTGCTTCCAACACTTAGTTTTATTCCTTCAATTCTGCCAACTCGTGCCAACACTTGAATCAACTTTGTCTTGCCATCGTCAAGTCCCACATCCTTGGCTTGTCAAGCCAACACACTGCCTTTCCTTGCCGATGCCACTGCTCACACATACGCCCCAAAGGTGGCCATACGCCTGTGTTTGCCTTTGCACGTCCTAGCTGCCTTGCCAACACTCGAGCATCTTGAACACTTTGCTGCACACCAAGACTTCGCCGCACAACTGCACTATTTAACCCACACACATGCCAAGCCCAATGCCCAATGCCCAAATCCTTGCCATGCCAGTCCGACGTTGCTTAGTTAGACTAGGGGTCTAACACTATCCAACCTATTGATGATTCCTGTTGGGACAGGAAATAATGACATCATACATGTTGGAAGTGCATCAAGCACATAATTAATCAGAGTCAGTCTTATCCCTAGTGAAAGGTACTGAGACTGCCACCTTGCTATCCTCTTCTCACACTTCTCAATCACCCCATTCCAGATTTCCATAGACTTGGATTTTGCCCCTAAAGACATAGCCAAGTATGTGGTTGGGAGGACACCGACTTCACCTCCAAGACTGTTGTTATGCTTTTCTAGAACCATTTATTTTGACTAACTCCATGTATATGCTATGTTGACAGAATTATCAGCTTAAACTGCATTGTTTTTCTTTTTTTTGGGTGGGGGAAGGGGAGGAAAGCTTAAATGTCATGTGCATATTATTTTTTTGCAGGAGAGGAGCTATTGTCACAACTTTCATAGTGTGCTATGCTTTGACATCATTCATTTCGGGCTATGTTAGTGGTGCAATGTACTCACGGAATGGTGGTATGTGCTCTTACTTATCTATATCTATGCATACAAGCCACTACTTTTGCCAAACGTCTTCTTTATGGCTTGCCATTTTTGGTTCATCTGACTATCTTAGTCAGATGAACAGAATATTTTGCGTTCATGTTTGTTAGTGTATACTGTAGACATTTCTGGTACCAACATTATCTGGGTGCATAGCTTTTATTCCCTTGTATTATCAGGTTTACTCTGTGTGTATATATGGATATACACACAGAGAGTATATAAAGTATTTCATTTGGTTTACTATGTATATATTTGCTTAAAGCATGTTACTCTGTCTGAATGTCTACATAAAAGTGTCATGGTGTTTGGTTCCTGGTTGCAGGGAAAAGCTGGATCAAATCAATGATTCTAACAGCGTCACTTTTCCCATTTTTGTGCTTTGGGATTGGCTTTATTCTGAACACAATTGCAATATTTTATGGGTCTCTAGCAGCCATTCCCTTTGGTACGATGGTAGTTGTGTTTGTCATCTGGGCCTTCATTTCCTTCCCCCTGGCTCTTCTTGGTACTGTTTTTGGGAGAAACTGGAGTGGCGCTCCAAACAATCCATGCCGTGTCAAGACCATACCTCGGCCTATTCCTGAGAAGAAGTGGTATCTGACACCATCTGTAGTTTCCTTGATGGGAGGATTGCTACCATTTGGAAGCATATTTATTGAGATGTATTTTGTCTTCACCTCCTTCTGGAATTACAAGGTAAAGTCTAACCTTCTGCGAGGGTTGTAAACACTGAGTTATTTGGTATAACAAACTGAAGGGGAAGAGTTGACAGAAATAGATACAAAGAACTTGAATACAATCCTTCAATTGATTAGGAATTGTTTCTAATGAATATGAATGTGAAACGATTCATGGATTTGAAATACAATGAGGGGTCCTCTCCCCTTTGATCAGACTGTTTGCTTGTTCGTTTCAGCTAGTTCGTAGTGTTTCATCTGCCACCCCACCGATAAGGAGTAATTGGGTAATTGAAAGGGGAATCCGTTAAATATTGAGAACCTTCTTAATGGTGGGGGTAATTTTAGCCACATAGTATAATGGAGGATAGATGTGACCATTATATTAAAGTAGAGGGGTAAAATTGTCCCTTTATTAAAATGTCCTGGAGAATAACCGGAAAAGATTACATAGGATGATGACAAGTTCATTGCTTCTGGACAGGCAGATAATACATTCCTTTAGGTGTATTCAGTTTATTTATTGTACCTACAGATTTATTTTTTTTTTCTTTTTTTGTGCTTTTGCACATTTTGTTTGTCTAACTCTTCATCAGATGCTCCTATTTCATTACATTCCTTCCCTCCCCGTGTATGGAGGGCAAAGAAAAGGGGGAGAGGATCATCCTTTTTTCATCCTTGGCTAGTATGGGAAGAGGACAGACAAGCTAAGGGATTTCAACCTACTCCTTTTATAGCATGATATGTTGTAATTTGCATTTGCTAACTTTTTAAATTGAAGAAGAATATATGAAGTAATAATGCCTTTTATTAGGTAGTGGCGTTATGCAATTTTTCTATGAAGCTGCTGGGCTTTTGCAAAATTTGAAGTCATTGCTAATCTCTTATATTGTGTTCTTTTGCAGGTATACTATGTGTATGGATTTATGCTTCTGGTGTTTCTGATCCTCATTATTGTTACCGTCTGCGTGACTATTGTGGGAACATATTTCCTACTAAATGCTGAAAATTATCATTGGCAGTGGACTTCGTTTTCCTCAGCTGCCTCTACCGCTGTCTATGTATACCTGTACTCAGTATATTATTATTATGTGAAGACTAAGATGTCAGGGTTCTTCCAGACCAGCTTCTACTTTGGCTACACACTGATGTTTTGTCTTGGCTTAGGGATTCTCTGCGGTGAGTATATCAGCTCCAGTTTTAAAGACCATTCATGCGATATTGTGTTTGACTAGGATCTGCTTTTCATTTTTAGGAATTTACGTCAACTGTTATATCTGTCTCATTGCTCTGGACAAGGATACATCTGTTATTAAGTTTCTTTCTTTATGTTGCTTGTGAGGAACTACTGCGGCCTTTTATTTTGTTTTATGCTGTTCTAATCAACTACACCATAATGTCATCTATGCTCAGGAGCTGTTGGATTTTTGGGCTCTAATCTATTTGTGAGGAGGATTTATAGAAACATCAAATGTGACTGATTTTCTTTGGAAGGAGAGAGTTCAATGTCCTTATTTTCTCGGTCACTGGCTATGAGGTCAAGAAGAGTATCAAGTATCTTCGTGGGGTTATTCAGTCAACTGATGGTAGGCGCCTCTGCCAGGAATCATCGGAGCCTGAAAGTTTTCCTTTTTTCGTTTGGGCTGTAAGAGATTTTTTCTTTTCTTTTGTACTTACAATTAGAAAGATTAGATAGCTTGAGGTATTCAAGGCTAGCTTTTCAGATTGTCATTTAGCAATTTTGGACGCTCTAAAGTAGTAATCTTTCATTTTTATAAATTATTTTACTGCAAATGAATGAGACTCAGGTTAGTTTTTCCGGTTGGTGAGCAAGTTAGAACCATGATTTGGATGGATAATTATACATTGTGCAGGAACTCAGATTTCTATCTTCCATCTCTAATTGATTATCAGATGCTCAAAAAGGTTTTTACTTTTCAGAAGTCCCTGTATACTGGTCATCTGCAATACACTCCCCCTTTATTTTTTGTTTGCTCTCGTAGGCTTCACTATGGCGGCGGGGATGCACCATTGCTGTTGACCTAGAGTTGTCATTAGACTTTGGTGCGACTCTACATTCGGTTGGTTCCATTGGTTTCACAATAGTTTAACTCAGCATATTTATTACGCGACACAATGACGAATTCACCTTCTATAATCAAGTGTTGAAACAAGCATGAATAATGCAATATGATGTAAGGAATACAAATCAATTTACATTTCCACCATTTAAATAAATAAAGTTTCGTAGGTTTCAAAACATAATTTATATTGATGCGTGAATTGGGAGTACTATATTAAGTTATCAACAATCGAGATTGAAATAACTACGCAAGAAAACATTATCACAAACCGCAGTCGACAACTATCCATCCTTCCCTCTTGCCTGTAGCGCAATCAATATGGGCTAGAATCGTTGGGTCGGTTTGGTCTAACTCGTAATTTGATAGGGCTGGACTAAGGTTTTTGAAGCTCATTTAAGAAAAGAGTATTTTTAAGCTCGGTTTGAATAAGTCTGTTGATTTGTGGAGCTTGAGAAATATGGGTTGAACCAACTCGTGGGCCAAATAAAAATTAATTAAAAAATAAAAAATAAAATACAGTATAAAAAATACACAAGAGTCCAAACTCAAAATCTATTTAAAGTTTTAAATATTAGTATTAATAGTCAAATACAAATTATGTTTATAAAATATGTATTACATAAAATAAAAATTCCCTAAAATTTCTAGGAAATCTTTATGTAGGCTCTAGCCTATGAAATATTGTCATATTTTTGTGTTTTATTATAATCATTGAAAAACAATTAAGTTAATATTTCTTTTTAGCTATTTATACTTTTACTAGAAATCAAACTTAATAAATATCATAAAGATAATTTTATTTGTGGATTTGACTAATAGATAGTAATACTAACACCATGTAATATTGTCTTGTCGATATTTATGATAATATTTTTAAATTATAATTTGATTCAAAAAATTATAAAAAAAAAGAGCAACTTTCACATATAGCAAACATAAAAATCATATTTGTATGTTATAGCTATAGTTTGCATAATTGCGCTCCATAACAAATTTTATGTTTGATATGGAGCTTTTGATTTGTATAATTCGCTAGATACATCCAATTTTATAAAAATTGTTCAGTTTTGTATAAAATTCATTTATACATTGTAATTTGTATAATAAGATATGTATTTGTATAATATAAGTGTATAGGACGAAAATATATGTATTTGTATTTATATATACACTTTTCTCTCGCTTTATACAAACACAAACACATTTTATACCGAAATGTATAAAATGGCTAATTGTATACCGAATAAGATGGCAAAAAAAATGGAATGTTTGCTGCGAATTACAAATAAAAAGAAACTATGGCTATAACATTTAATTTGAATTAATAGTTTGCTATTTCATACAATTTTCATATACTTTAAAAAAAAAGTGGGTTGACCCCGCATAGCCAATAGTCAAATGTACTTGTGGCTTGGGCTAACCATTTTCTGACCCACAAAAAAATGGAACAGCCCGGCCTAGACTGTCAAATTTCAAAGTCTATATGGATTAACCCAATTGGGTGAGCCAACCCATATTTACAGCTCTACTTGTCTGATGCAGTAATTCTAATCTTGAATTACTTAAAAAAAATCTTGTTAAATGTAGCTCATGCATCTCATCTACACTTGGAAGACTTCAATTGATAAACTCTGTCAAAACTACTAAAAGTGAAGAAATTATCGATGGGAAAATTAATAGACATTCAGTATTAAAAAAATATCCAAAAAATTGATGAATCAACGACTTTAGATAATATTTATTTTTGGAGGAAAAAATCTACGGACACTATCGCTTAATACCGAGAGAAATCGTTGGCAATGGAAACTTGGAAATATCACAATTTTATCTTACTCCATACAAAAAAAAATATCGACGAACCCCATTGATCATGTTAAGAAGAAAAATATTAGATTTAAATAAGTTGATCGCATACATCAGTTTTCTTTAATTAATATTTTTTTTGGATTATAATTTATTTATTAAAATATTTTAAATTTATAGCATCGATTTTCTAGGTGTAAATATTAATTCATTGATGACAAGTCGATTTTTCGGCAGTTTGTTCATAATTGTGTAATTTTTATTTAAAAACCCGACAAAATTCATCAGTTAGACATTGATTTGCTGGTTAAAAATGGATAAGTAGTGGTTAGTTTGTAGCAACACCAAACAAAAGAAGATGATAACATTCAACTAAATCCAACGGTAACTCCATTAACATTCGCTAAGGTAACAACTAAACATATTAAAAAATAATCACTACAAAAGATTTTGTTATGATTTTCGTTGCAAAATTTGTGTGAGTTTAGACCCTGTACTCTTCACTTGTTTGGGTTCCCAACAACTTTTTTGAGCTAAGAGATCATGCTAGGGAGAGTCAAGCGCTAGAGAGCTATGTACTTGGCTAATACTATGAAGTTTCGATGATTAACAAACATAACTAACACATCAAAAATCAGATATTAAACATGCCTTAAATAAGGAATGGTAGTGTTTATGACAAAGAACTATAGAAGAGCGAGTTCCAGTTTATCACGTTTAGTTATCATGTTATTATGCATATTTCTCATACTCAGTAAAGTTCACACCACATACTTTCAACCTTGATTGTTTGATAATATAGGTTCTGACGTTCAATAGCTAGTCCTCGGTTAGTACTATCTCTGATAAACTAACAATAATGTTTGGTGAGTCCTCATCTCTCCGAGGACAGTCCCTTATGTTCGTTTAGTCATTTACTTTCAGTTTTCAGTCTTTAGATTTAGCTAGGGGTTTGTCCTAGCAACTCATATCAATAGAGGTTTTTTTATTAGACTTCCACTTATATATACTCAGATATTTTGTCTATTGAGTTGTTAGACAATTTCAATTAGCTTCTACATTTGGCTTTCTTCTATCATTGATTTATTCTAATCTTAGTGTCATGCCATGTCATGAGGTTAGTTTGGGGTCACTTATGGATTGCTGAGTGGTAGATTTGAACTCATTTGAGGTCTATTTAGCTCAATAATTAGTGTTCTCAATGCCTAATTTTGTCCTATTCTGATGAAATATTGATGATTTGTAGCTGCGAAAGCAAATGGACAAGGCAAGGATTGATGTTTGAAAGAATGGCCAAAAATGTAAAAAGAAGTGCAAACTATACGTTGTTGATCTCCAAATGAGAAAAATGGATCGCTTTATGAGCCTGACCTCACCCAAAATGACAGTGCATAACACTTGTGTCTATCGAAACAAGTTGGTGAACTTTAACACAGAAGGCGATACGCCGAATGAGAAAGGCAACCTTGCCAATCGTCGCTGAAAATGACAGTGCAAGGAGAAAATTGAATGCTCGAAAGGTGAACCAATGTGGTACTTGGTGATTCATCGAATGTGAAAGGCTGACTCAAACGGGTTCACCGACTGAGGTTCATCTAGAACATGAAAAGGCGAGATGAAGCACAAGAGGTGATTCATTGAACGAGCTCGGTGAGCCTGACTAATGTCACCGAATGAGACGTTAATTGGGTTTGGGACCAAATTTTGGAAAATTATAAATATCCCAAAAGAGAGAGAAATTAGAGAGTTCTAAATTTTAGAGAGTGAGAAATATTTGAGTTTTGAGAGAGAAAATTTGACCTTTGTGAAGAACACTTTCTTGCTTTTGGTTTTTTTTTTTAACTTTGCTCTTGAATTTGATAAATTGAAGTTGAATCCAAAGTGAGTTTACTTGTAATTGCTTAATTTCAGGTTACCCATGAATCATGGAAGGTATATTTCTTTGCTTTTTGTGATGGCTGGCTAAAACCACAAGATCTAGGGGAGTAGTTATGGGGTTGGATGTTGATTTGATGTAGTGGATATTGTGTTTTGCTGTTGTTCATACATGAATTTGGGCTATTATCATGGGGTTAATTTATAGGTTAAGGTTTCAAACTTAATTCCTACTTCTGATTCACGGTTGATGCTCAAAAGAGATTGATTGGAGTGGTTAATTAGTCTAATACTAACAATTTAGGTTTGATGTCTGTAACTTGCTTGAAAATAGAGGTTATGGGTCAAATATATTTGCCCTATTTCTTCATCAAACAAAGAGAATAGAGTAAGATATTGGGTTGTTTAGATTGACATTTAGATGAGATCGAAAAGAGATTCTATGCATAGATGCTTAGAGATGGAAAGATGATTTACGTCATTGAAGATGAGCTAGCATATTTATGAATGTTCATCAATATAGAGCAGCACAATTACCCCTATGTGACATTGATTTGTAATCCCCTCACCCTAGATTGCTTGTTAACTCTTAAATTCTATGACATACTAGTTTAATCGTGATAATTGATAACCAAAGATTTTTATTAAATTGGTGAAATCATCCATCCACTTGTAATTACTATTACAAATGAGCAAATTTACGATCCAATTTCTTGATAGGAATTATTTACGATATACCATTCCATGTGGAATTCAACCACGACTCTTTATTGGATTTTAATTAACTATGACCATTGTCCCTTTTAATTAGTTTTAAGGCGGACATTTGAGCGTTATCAAAAATGGCGCCACTGCCTGGGAGTGGTGGTTGAGAATTCTAATTGAGAAATTAGATTTTCATTTTGTTTAGTTGTAGTAGATTGTTGTTTTGTGTTGTTGTTGGCTGATTTGCAGGTCTAATACAGTGAATGACCATGGTAGTGACAATGATAGTCACTATGGTAAAAACGACAATATGGGTGATTTGAATGATATGCATATGAATATTGTTCAAACC